CTCTTTCCTGCCTATGCAGGGGGTCGGACTCGATGATCTATTGAGGTCCCTTCCGACCCTAACATCTATGAATCCCGGGTGTCTTTTCACATCTATGCCAGTTCTTGGGGGGAAAGGGGGCCCTAGCAGCAAGGTTCAGAGAGCCTGGATCCCTGTGTGGGTCTAGAGCTTCCCAATCTGCTCTTGCAAGAGCCTGGGGTCTAAGCTTATGTGACAGAGTAAGTCCTCCTGGGAGCACATAGTGTCCAGGAAGTGTGGCATCCCAGGAGGCAGTCTGGAGGCAGCAGAAACATCTTGCCACACCAGGAACTTCCTGCTACCTCATCCAGACTGTCACCTGAGGTACCACACTTTTTGGACACATCGTGTGCCCAGGAGGACTTTGTCACAAAAGGTTAGGCCCTTGCAAGACCAGTAGCAAAACTTTCAGTAGTAGTTTTATAGAAGTTCCTGTAAATAAAATATTTCTTCCACATCGTAAACTTCATTGAGATACTACCACCAGCTCACTTTGCAGCTTGGGCACAAGCTACAGCACTCAGCCAATAGCTATGGCTGTGAGAGGATTAACATAAGATTCCCCTTCAGCTGTTGACTCAAACAAGCGGGAGCCATCTTGGCAGCTGAATGGCATGCACAGTATCTGCAAGCGTGCTTCTTTTTCAATGAAGAAAACAGCTTCCCTGCTTAAGACATGCAACTCGGTTTGGGGGGTGATTTTCTAGGGAAAGGTGTGTGTTGTATTGTGAAAACAGATGCTTGATATAGCAAGGTGTTATTTTGGGTCACTTTTTAATTAGATTCTCAGTCTTCCTTTGCAGAGGATTGTCCCTGCTTTCTGGTCTTCTATGGTAAGGATCTGCATGGTCAGTTTGATTAAAAAAAAATTAAAATTTGCTTCAAATGGCATAAGGCCTCCAAATGGTGCTGTCTTTGCAGAGCTACAGTAATCTTTTTCTTTCTGTTCCAGAGTTCTTACTGAATTTCTCGAAGGTAGAGAGGAGTCATTGGGAGGCTGCCAGGTTATACTTGTTTCCAGAGGAAGAGTTAGGGCACGGGTGGGCAAAATATGGCCTGCGGGCAAGATCTGGCCCACAAGGCCATTCTGTCTGGGCCACAGGGCCCCTAAAATTTTTTTGAAAATTAAAATTTTTCTGTCCTTGGTTCCTGTCAAAAATGACAGGAGCCAGGGACAGTAGGACACAGGGGAATCCTTGGCGGGCTCCTGCAACAGCAGGGCCTGCCCAGCCTCGCCCCAACAGCTGAAAACCCCAGTAGGGGCTTCTGGCCTGGCACGGGAAGCTCAGGTAAGGGGGCGGGGAAGGGCAGAGAAGGAGCTGGTGCGAAGTGCAGGGAAAAGCAGCTCCTCGCCTGCCCCGTGGTTGGTGCTCCCTGCTGCAGCCGCTTGCAGCCTGTGTGGGGTTGTCCTGAGCAGGCACAGGCAGTCCCACGTGGGCTGCGAGCGGCTGCAGCACGTTGCGCTGGCAACAGGGCAGGGGAGGGGCCGCTTTTCCCCTGCACTGAGTACCAGCTTGTAACCTGGCTCCGCGCCGGCTCCAGGCTTGCCCGTTGGGGCTGTGCCATGGTGGCAGCAGGTGCAGCCCCCCGCTTGTCATGCTAGGCAGCGTTTGCTGCTATCTGCCTGGAGCTCGTGCTGCAGTAGGCTGTGGAGAGGCTGCCACCACTGCCCCTGTGCTGCCCATCATGGGAGCTCCAGGTGGGCAGCAGCAGCAAACACTGCTCGGCATGGCAAGTTGGGGGGCTGCAGTTGCCACCGCCTTGCGCAGCCCCGAAGGGTGAGCCTGGAGCCGACGCGGGGCCCAGGCTGGCTGCAGGGGCAGGTTACAAGCTGGTGCACATGGGGAAAAGCGGCTCCTCCTCTGCCCCATGGCTGGCGCCCCACACTGCAGCCACTCACAGCCTGTATGGGGCTGCCTGTGCCTGCTCAGGACAGCCCCGTGCGGTCTGCAAGTGGCTGCAGCAGGGAGTGCCGACCATGGGGCGGGCAAGGGGCTGCTTTTCCCCATGCTCCGCTTCAGCTCCTTCCCTGCTGGTGAGCAGGGGGTTGGGACTGTGTGCTGCCCGCCCCCTGTACTGTGGGGCTGAAGGGCACTGGTAGTGAGTGGGCGCGGGAGCACAGGGCCCGCACTGGTGTCCCAGGGCCAGCAGGGCCCAGAGTAGGGCGGCAGGAGTACAGGATCCAGGCCAGCAGGGGCTCTATGGAGCCGGGCCAGTTCCTCCCTCTCCCTGGTGGTGCAACCCAGCCTGGCTCCACAGACCCCTGCCAGCCTGCGCCCTACTCTGGGCCCCACCGGTGCTGGCCCTGAGACATTGGTCCGGAGACATTGGTCCCAAAATGGTGACCAGGGGGCGGGGCACCTGTCAAGGGGCGGGGCTACCCATACAGCCCTCTACAGCTTGTCAAAACTGGGTAAGCAGTCCTCCTCCCACAATAATTGCCCACCCCTGAGTTAGGGTAAACTTAAGTGTGCATAAACAATTTTTTTTGTTAGTAGTAATTTCATTCCAGACTACTATAATTTAAATAAATTTAGGGAATAAATAATAACATTGAAAAGTAGACTGTTTCATAGCACTTGGTTTATTGGAGTCATTTTCCAGGGTTCCTGGCTTCTGTTCTTGGGAACTTTGCAGTTCTTTCTAGAGTGTCTGCAACTCCACTTGATATGATTTTTTTTATCTGCAAATTTGCTAAGTATGTACTCAAATCTTATAGTCCAAATTGGGGGCAATAACCTGTGGCTTGCGTGATTCAAGTGGTACAGGCAGTGTGTGTATGTCATGTGGGAGGCTGGGGAGGAGGCAGGCAACACAGATGCAGGTAAGGCAGGGATCAGAAAGCAGAGCAGCCAGTCAGGGAGGGAAAGGGGATGGGAGTGGTGCTTGGGAAGGTTGTGGGGCTAATTTGTGGCAAACCTGAAAAAAAGGTTGGCCTCCACTAATCCAAATGATTAATAATGGATATCTGTGCCAGACACTTGTCTTAGAAAAGCTTCACTGAAATTTAATCCTTAATCATGTTTACAAAATATGGTGTGTGATATTCATATGATCATGTATATAAAGAATTATCATCTCTGTATGATTCAGTAACTGAAGTATAGATGCATTTTATGAAGGAAATCCTTTTGAAAGCAGGAAATCCTATAATGTACCATTTAGTGCAGTGAAACATTTAATCTGTCATTATTATGCTGTTGTAACTGTCTGAAGCAATTTCAGTACTCCATTAGAGTGAGAATTTCTTTAATAAGTTAGTTCTGAGCAAGATGCTTTTACCCTTTTTTAATTTTAATTTTATTTACTTGTAAATAATACTACCGCTAGAGTTTATTTAACTATTAAGCAAAGAAGAACTTGAATCAAAATTCGCAGCTTGGATTTCTCTTATTATTAGGATAGACATCCCTTCCTGTCCTGCATGTTTGATGCAGGTAATTTAAAGTATTTTTTTTTTATAGAAGGAGTCATATCAACAAAAAATCTCGTTCCTCGTTTATATGCTGAGTGAGTATCCAAAGGCTAAATTCCATTTCCCTTTATGTGCCTA